TTGCTCTCCTACGTTTCAACGAACGTAGCTTTTGAAAGAAATTTAGTGAATTTTGTTGTTCTTTTAAACGAAGCCTTAATGGAGTATGAGGTGAAGGAATGGGCAAGGGGTGGGTGAATTTTCGGATTAGCAGTGAGCTTGCCATGGAATTTAAGTTAAATTAATTTTCTTTATTTAAACATCTTGATTTATATGCCATGAATTTATGTTAAAAAACCTAGCAATATTTGTGTCCTTCCTAGATAAAGTTGATTTTCTAGATACGCTCGTGCAATCCATTTTACCATCAGAGATTGTTTAACTGACTTCGTTGGCTATCGAGACAATTCAGGCCCAATTGCATACTACACGCATACAAATTGTCATTTTCACCTCATTTGGCTTTTTCGAACATAGAAGGCACTAATTTTTACTTTTCAAATGCTCTATCGTAGTCCATGTTGTGATCGTACATCATTTGAATAACTTCAGCGAAGGTTGAAGTGATTTGAATTTGATTCACGTCGTCACATGAGCAGTTTGTTTTTGTCATCGTGCTTGCTCTATTTGATAATGAAACACCCCTTCTTTTGTAATTTTGATGCTCTGAATTAAAGGCGGAGTCCATTTTGCACATGAGCATTATTTCAGGTGAATTTGAGTGTGATCGAAACACTTAATATTTGATTGTGTGATATCAAGATGTGAAGGTCAACAATGGGAAAAGGAAACAAATGACTAAGACATCCTATAGAAAAAAGGAAGAGAAAGCACTTAAGAAAATCACTCATCCAAGAATGTTCCCTTTCTATTATTGAAGTTAATTATGTGCATGAATGAAAAGAAGAGATTAAAGTTTTAAAAAAGATTCACTTTTTTCATTCAGTGTCATGTTGTTGAATACCAAAATGTCTTTCTGGTCACGGTCAAGGAATAGAGCGTTGGTCGGATGTAAGGAATAATAGAAAAGAGGAGAAAGAGAGTAAGTCACAAATAACACTAATTTTCTAGGAATCGATCCAATAGTTTTTTTCTATAGAAATGACCTCATGTTTATAAGTTATAGGAGTCCAATAAATTGCATGATTGCCCCTCATTTAATGAGAACATTATAATTATTTATTAGTCATTACACATTTACATATTTATAACCGAATTAGGCTTGTTTTGACCTTGAAACCGCTGTTGGCGTTGTTACATATCTGTAGCTTCCTTAAGCACAATTTAGTATTTGTAACTTCTTGGCTTAGTCTTGTGGTATTCATTCGATTGGCCAAAAAGTTATTCAACCAACTGAATTGTCTTCGGACGCCTTTTACTGAGGGGAACCATTATGAAAACTCATTATCCTTTGGAAGGATTATTCCATCGAGTTGTGAACACATTACGTAAGACAGACAGTCTACTTTCGATTGATGAAGCTATATAGAAAGAGTCCCAGTTAGGGGACTATTATTCATGTGAATGTCCTTTATGTTGGTTAAGCCGTTATTGGTATAGGTGTGTCACGCTCCTTGGTTCTGTTGGACTAAAGCTCGATCGGCCCAGAATTCAGTATTTTGCTAGATTGCTCGGTCTTATGCTATTCTCTTTGTGCGGTCCATTGGAACTCTTTGAGTTTTGTGTAGCCGCATTCTGATGTATAGATGCATACTACAAATATATTTTGTTCAATAGGCCACAACAAAATGAGAAACTTTTTTATTCATTTTGCACAATAGAGAATGATGCATAGGGGTTGAAATAGTTTGACTTCAAGGCAGAAGAAAGGCTAGCATGTATGATAGGGAGGTGCAAGAACATAGCACCATTTAAAAAAGGGGGGTTGGAATAGGAAAAAAAAAATTGCTTAATATATCTTGATCAAGTTTTGTATTAAGTAGAATATAAAAGATATTGAATCTACTTTGAAATGAGATCAAAATAAGTTTTAATTGATTTATATATAATATATTTACATTATAGAACATTTGGAAGGTGTTTGGTTGCTTACATTAGTAGGGCATCACAAGGCAAATGCAAAAGCTTCCAAAATTTTGGTTCTTGGTTGGGTAAATATTATTATTACCTTCTTAATATCATGTTTTTTATGTTGCTGCAGACCAAACAACATCTTAGAATTTTAGAACTCAATTGAAATTTAATTAAACTATTTCAAGATAAATTTTAGCCTAAAATACATAGCACCAACTGCCACGCCATTGCCATGGTTCCACGCCATTGCCATGGTTCCACAAATACGGCGGTGGAAGACTTATTTTTGCTCCCTGATGTTGATGTGCACCAACTGGACATCACTGGTAACGTGATAGAATGACTTGGTGGCATCTACCTAAAACATTGCGCACATCCACTTAATTTAAGGTACCACCCAATTCTTATGTTTAGGTAACAACCAAGTTTTACCTTTTTTTTGGAAGATTTACATACATACCACTTAATTCCTATGTATTTACATTTCTAACACCGAAATTTTAGTTATTACTTACAAATTCATCTCATGCATGAAAATGTGTTCCACTTTTTTAAAAAATTGAAGTTCCGATATTTTTTTTTTTTTTGTATTTTGAAAGATTAGGGTGGTATAAATATAAAAAATAAAAGGTTTTGTGTTTAGATATATAGATACATAGGAATTGGGTGTTATGTATGTAAATACCCCTTATTTTTTATATTCATGCCATCAAAATCATTCATATCATGTTAGAAGTATCATCATTTTAACTATTAAATAATGAAATATATCTTTTCATATATAAGTAGAACGACACCTAAGTAAAACATTGTAAGTTTTAAGTGGTTGATGTGTAACTTTGCGTTTGTGGGTGTGACATTTGAATCATTTTATTTGTAGTTTTATTACAGCTTCAAATTCGTATTAATTTCAAACACACCTAATTAAATAATCAAAAGCGGCAAATTTCATTATTTTTAAAATGGTATTAATCATCTCAACAATGATGTATGCTTGAACACATGATTTTGGAGAAATGTGGCCTTGAACCAACAAAAAGTTTTGCACAATACCTTCACTATAATTAGCCAAAAAGCCAAAATATGCCAATTTACAATTTTCTTATGTTAAAATGAGAAATTTTACAATGAATTAGTTATTTTCATTTTACGTAAACTCATCAGCTTAAGTAAAAATCTAACAGCTGCTGTTTTAAAATTTATTGCAGTTGGAGGAGTACTGCCTGCCAAGAAAAAATTATCAAGGAGTCAGCCTTGGCTTAGATCTATCAAGAGGTTCGTTTGCAGCTCCAATGATGCTAAAATTAGACATAACCACACAAAGAAATGTTTTAGGGTTTTTGATAGGGATGAAGGGTTGCATGCATATTACATGTAATCTTCTCATTAATTCCAGCAACAACAAACCTATAAAGTTCTCAAATGAGTTGCAGGTGATATTAGTCTGTCTTAACTTTTACAAATATATATATATATATTGAAAAGGAAACGGTATTTGAGTCTAGTGGGCCCCAAATGTCACTTTGCCTTTGCACTCGAACACCTAAGATAGGGTGTCTGCATCATGTGCCTAATATTCCGGGCCACGCAGGTGATATTAGTCTATCTTATCTTTTACAAATATATATATTAAAAAGGAAACGATATTTGAATCCAGTGGGCCCCAAATATCGCATCGCCTTTGCGCTCGGACACCTAAGATAGGGTGTTTGCATCATGTGCATATATATATATAGCAAGGAGTATAGTGTAATTATACAAAAGAATACTATTAACTTTTTAAGCCCTTGTAGAAACTTTTCTTCAGGTTATATTGTTTTTTTTTTAGGTGTTTTGGTTGTCATTTGTGTTTATAATAAGAAGAAAATATTTTTCAGAAATGTTTGCCTTGTGTTTAGTGTTACTTGACAATGATAATGATTGGGAGTTGATGAATCTGAGAATCGTCCAATGTCAACCTGAATGCTTGAAATGAAGGTTTATATTTGCTTTCTTTCAGTGGATTACTAACAGTTTGAGGTTGTAGAAAATGTTGGATTTGACAAAAAATAGGATTTTTGGCAACAATTATGGGCTTGTGGAAATATCTGTGATGGACAGTTTTCAGGTGGTCTGCATAGCTTTAATGATTATAAGAGTGGTATAATGTCTATAAACAATAGACCCTCGATGTGAAGAAAATTTAGATGTTTTCAAACTAGGTAGTAATTGATTAAATGTTACATAAAATGTGTGTATAAAGAGATGAAAATTAAATTGGTCCGAATAATCTTTTAGTTTTGACAAAGAGAAGTATTTATTATATTAGGTGAGATGAATAATAACAATAAAAAACTCCTATCAAATCAAATATTGCACAATTTTTACAATGTGCTAAATTTGTGCTTAAAAAATGTGCAAAACTATGATCATATGAATTGATTATTAACCCTCTCTAACATGAATACAATGATTTTGATTACTCAGCTCTTCAATCTGCCAAAAGGCAACACAAAAAAGGGTGCCTTACAATTGAATACTTGTCACCATCAACCCAACATGTCTAATAAGAATGTAGGGTATACAGCCCACACTAAACAATGATGAAAAAAGATGTGAGATGAAGGCCAAATCAACTTTGACGCTAGAATCTTCAAAGGTAAATTTTAAGAATAAAAAGATAATTGGGCTCTAAAATATTCCCACTAAACTTGGTTGATATAAGTGATTTTGACTTGATTTCTCAAAAAAAATAGATTAGACGAACTAAACAAGTAAAACTATGTGCTAATATTTTCTTCAAGAATTTAGATTTCAAAAAATAGATTGGACGAAGTAAACAAGTAAATCATTGTGCCAATTATTTCTTCAAGAATTTCGACGTAACACGGATGAACGAGATAGGGATAATATACGCAATATTGAGTTAATGTAATTTTTTTAAGAAAAAAAGCCTTTTTTTTTCTTTTTTATTTTAGGTTTCTTTAAACATTCACTTCATACACAACAAAGTGTACTAAAAAAATACTGAAATATGCTTAAACATACATGATTTATGTTATTAACTATTAGAGAGATAGATAGAGAGAGAGAGAGACTTACAACAGCTGCAATTTGAAACAATTGCAAAACATTAGTGGGTGTTTGGCTGCAAGTAGAATTTAGAATTATCAGTATTTAGTAAATCTCTAAATCGTAAAACCATTAAATCCAACTTGCCCCAGGATTCAATAAAACCTAGATTTAAGCCAAATTGAAGGAAATTTTGGGATCTTGAATTTAAAAATTCATAAATCCCCGAAACTCCTGCAATTTCGCGTCTCGTTGGATTTAATAAATCCGGTGAAAAATCCCTTAAGACTCCTGAGTTAGTTAATCTAAGAACTTGAATATGTCATTTCCATATTTTGCGCAATTGCATAGTTGGATCTCTTCTTCCTTTTATCTTTGTTGTCTTTTTTGCTCTTTTTATCTCCCTTTTCCTCGGCGGATGAAGGCGGTTGTGTTTGTTCCAAGTGTTGTTGAATGGCTGCGATGGGATCAGCTTGGAAAGCTGGATGTCTGTGAACAGATCTCAATAATTCGCTTTCAATCTCACTGGCGACATAAAGCAATATTAGAGACTTAAAAAGGAAGCAACCATAGCTCTTGCATCATTGAAATTTGAAAAAAAAAAAAATTTGTCTGATATAAAATGACAACTACTTACACTAGCTTTTGCCGATTCTTGCAGTTTAGTTTGAAGACGGGGGATTTAGATGATTTTTGGAGAGCTTCATCGGGAAGAAAGTCTGAAAGTGCGCTTAGGTCATATGCCCTTAGTTTTTTTTGCCGGCTTCTTAATCTTTTTTTCTGAAACGATAAAAAGTTTCATCAGTTGGTGTTTCAGAAGCTCCGAAAATTCATGATACTTGCACATAAACACAATAACAAGTAACTAATAAAATGAATGGTACAAAATATTTTGAAGTACAAAAAAAATGAATTTAATGTTGAATAATTGTCTGTCTGTGCACCCATACCTCAGGGAAACAAGAATAAGAGAAAGAACAAGCTGAAGAGAGGATTTCTACGTTCACTAAAATAAAATACAAGGTGTGTTTAGGGATAAAAAATGACCATCCCTTGTTATATAAATCTCCACCTATTCATAGAAGACTTATTCTCACATGATACAGACACATAATCCTCTACTCAAATAGATCTCTAGTGGTCTAGGACTTCTCACCTTTTGTATTTTCTAGGGGATTTAGAGCAGGGTTTAGGCAGGATTTAAGTAGAATCTTGCTAGGCGGCCATTTTGGACAAAATAAATCCAGGGATGTGATAAATCCATATTTTGTAGATTTCTGACGCAAATCCCAGATTTAGTAAATCCTACGAATTGATGGATTTAACTTCACGCGCTTTGGATTTAAGGAGCAGCTCAACAATGGTCGGATAACAGCAGTGGAACAGCTCGGTAACAACCAAACAATTTCACTAGATTTACAAGATTTACTACATCCATTGCCAAACAGTTCTCCGGCTTTAACCCATTCAAGTTTTACTACATCAAGATTTACGATATTTACTAAATTCTAGTAATTTAAATCTCATTTGTTGTCAAACAACACCCTAACATTTACATATATTTAATATTATATTTGGCATGTTATCATCTGGCACCATTGTATTTCACCTTCTATTTCACATGCCCTCATCGGGGACCAAAATACTTTTCCTCCAATCCTCATTTATCTTTTTTAGTTTTTAAAATAATATTAAAGAGTTCAGTAAGCCAAAAAACTCTCAAAACTCATAAATATTTCCACACTTCAATTGGGATATCATCAAGTTCTATTGATTTTTCACCCCTGATTTTCTTTAAAACCTCAACTTTTTTTACTAATGTGATCATAAAAATAAAACATTTTATTATTATTAACGATATTAAAATAATTAAGGTCAACCATATTTTCAAAAATTTTATTAAAAAGTTATCAAAATAACTCACCCACCTTTATTGAATATTTTCCTCTAAGAAAAATAATTTTTTATTTTCATATTTAATACAATTTAATTGAATTAAATTTTTACTTTTTTCTCTTTATATGGCTAGTTTGCTCATATATTTTTCACCCTCTTTAGTATCTAATATTTTATAAAAATCACTAAAAGCAGAATTTTAACGTCACCAATTATTCTCATAGGCTCCCTATGGGCAACCTTATATTTTTCTCGATTATCTAAGTTTTTACATTTAAACCAATTTTTATAACACGTTTTCTTATATTTTATCTTTTCCTACACATTATTATGTCACCACCAACTATTTTTATTTATAAAAACTTTTTCTTTTGATTCTCCAAAATACATTTTTTGCCACTTATTTAATAATGTTTGTTATTTTATCTAACATAGAATTCACTTCTTCATAACATCCTAAATCTTCAAATTTGGATGTTTACTCGTAAAAATCTTAGTATCAACAATAATCTTTAAGTTTATAATTTTATCTCCAATTCAATTAATTTTTACAACATTATCTTTCAAATCTCTCGAATGTGTGGATGATAAAATTTCACCATCGAGGGAGAATCAAACTTAAGCTCAGTCTCTACCCCTTCTTCCACTGATACGCGGAAGTTCAGTCTTTTCTGAATTCAATTGAACCTAAATTCAAATGAGCAACCTCTTGATTTGATGCTTAAGGGCAGACATCTAGATTCAACGGAAGGGAAAACGCCAAAATTGACTTTAGTGCTACAAGTTTTTTCTTTTTATTTTATTTGTACAATCTTTAAGCCATGCTTTAAGATGGGATGTAAAACTATATCAGGCGATTCGCTTAGTAAAATTTTGTTATTCCCATTCATACCTTTCTTTTGTTTCATTTTTTACTATTATTGTAGTTGTGTTGGACGTGATGAATTCGATGCTACGTCTTATTCTTTTGGAGATCAATACTTATTGTCTTCCCTTCTACTTTGTGATGAACTTGCTATGTAAGATAATAATCGGTTGTTCAGCTAAGTTTCGTGTCTTTATGAAGTTCCCCTAACATCAGCTACAGAAATTTCCTAAATTTAAATTCTTGGGGATGAGTTCTTCTAAAAGAGACCTTCATATATGAGAATAATATTTTCTAAGTTATTAGTTTTTATTAAACTCAGCCTCAACAAAAACATTCAGAATCCATGAAGGCTCTGTTTGGCGCAGCTGCAGCTTCCCAGCTTTTCAGCTGCAGCTGCGCTGCCCCCGGGAACTGCTGCAGGGAAGCAGCTGCGGGGAAACTGACTGTCTGTTTGGTACAACTGTGTGAAAACAGCTGTGGAGCAACTATTTTTGAAGAAATGACCATGTTGCCCTTGTTTGTTAAAATTGTTTAAAAGAGCTGTAATAGGTACATTTTTGAAACTTCTGAAGCGAAAATTCATTTTTAAACATAACTTAAAGTTCATATACCCTCACTTCTAAAAAAAGATTTCGTGAAAGTTTAAATGATAGATATGTAAATCCATAAAAAAAAGAACATGTAAGGGGACTAGAAACTTGAAAGTTTAAATGATAGATATGTAAATCAATAAAAATCGAATAAAATGCACTAAATCCCTCTCTTTTTTTTTATGCACTGGCTATGTAAAACAGTAAAAAATTTGATATAAATTATGAATGTTTAGGTGGTAGGCACATAAAAATATATAAAAAAAAAAATTTAACAGTGAAAAGGTTTCGTGACCTTCCTTCGTTGTTAAAGGTGGAGTAGCAGAGAGATGGGAGCTTTGGTGATCCTTGCACGCCACAATATCGTTGTTGGTCCTTCTGGTGATCAGAGTTTCGGCGAAGCTTGCCGGAGAGCGTGAAGAGATGGGTTTCGATCGGGAAAGGTGACGAGAAGTTGCTGTGACGGACGAGGACGAAGGCTGTGGTCGGTTCTCGGCAAGGGGGGCTTAGAAGTTGTGGAGTTTGGGAATCAGAGAGGAATCACAGGCGTTTCTTCGGTTGGGGAAGATACGCCCACGGAGAGGTTCCGATTTCGGTTAGGGCAGGGCCGGGAGGAAGGAACGACTTAACACACGCGACAGTAGGGAGGATGGGGTGGCGTCAAGGGGTATAATGGACTCCTGCTATGAACATCTGCTCCGCGAACGCGAGCCGCGGGATCCAATCTGCTGCGCGAGTTCGGCCATATTCGCGTCCCGCCGTAAGCGGGACGCCGAACCAAACAAGAAAATTTTGTGTCCCGCTGTTGCGACGCAGTGCGAACGTGTTCCCAAACGGACTCTAAGATTGCCTCTTGTTTGCAATTTTTAGGGCATGGCAACAAAGGAAAAAGGACTTTGCCGAATAGAGACTATCCTTCGCCTTTGATGGCTTCAAGCTCTCCTACATGTCATATTTCCTTAGGGGCACCTTGAACTTCTCCTTTATAGTTTTGAACCTGGGAGCTTTAGGCATTTCCTTCATGAGTAGTCTTATATATTAACCTAGTATTCTTACTTCATTATATTTTTGCAAGAATATTGCTGGAAATTAAACCATGAATTATAATACAAATTAATTTTACATCTGAGTTCACTTAAATGAATTCCCCAAGTGAAACATGCATGCTTGAAAATGCATAACTTTTATGGATAAAAACAGTTTGTGATCATCTTCACTCCAAGTTCTATGTACTTTCTTCCTTGCATATGTAGCCAGCTTACAAGCTCTCGGACAGACTTATTCTTCCACGATGTATGGTCTAGTACAAGTTTGATCGATCTAGTTCCCCAACGAATTATTGAAGTGCGAAAGTATTTTTTCTTCGCGCTTTAAAGCAATTGAATTCACAACACTTCTAGTAAGTCAAATAAGGTATGGAGACCTTCGTAAAAAACTATCATTCTTCAAGTTCAGAATCCTCAAAATTCGACATGGTAACGACTCATTGTTGTGAAGGTTATATTCTACTAGTAACATTGCTTCGAATAAATAAAAGAATTTTATCATGTTGTGGTTGAAGAAATTGTACTTAGTTCCTAAAGCACTGAGGGAAGGAGACGACCCACTTTTCCTTTGCTCTTTCAACCTTCTTCCTTAGTATATTGAGAATTAGTTTGTTCATTGATTCAAATAAGGTTATTTATCCTTAGAGATTGGACTGATGGAACTTAAAGGGAATCCCTTGACTTTGACAACTCCTTTATTTTTTTATAAGCAAACTGGAAGGTTATTGTCTGTAATGATAACCATAGATAGTGCCTATAGATGAGGTTGGTTCACATAAAATTGTAAACCACATGTATCATGATCTTTGCTAGAACTTTTGTTAAAATCCACTTTGAAAAGTAATCAATTATTACTAATATAAACTTCCTTGGACCTTCAACAAAGGACCGAGGAGGTTTAGCCCCCACATGACAAATGGCCAAGGACTCATAATCAGTTACAACTTGTGAGAAGGTTGGAGTTGCATGACAGCAAACTTTTAACCTTGTTCACATTTTCTAGATAATTCTTCAGAGTCTTTCTAAGTGTTCATCATTTAACTGAGTTGGATCACACGAGTACTTCAATCTTATCCATTGGGTAAACCTTAATCATATAATCAGAGCTTCATACTCAACTTGATTGTTGGTAATATCAAACTCGACGACTATAGAATGATAGAGGGAGAAATAGGTTGGGCTTCTAAGTACGATTCCAAGTCCAGCTCCTCGACAACTCCATGAATGATCAACACAAGAGTTCCATAGTGATTCCTCCGAATTAGCTATTGCTTGTTGGGCACAAAGAATGGAGAAGTCAACTAGGATTTCGCTACCACTTATGCTTTGATTGTTGTCTGTGGTATATATGATATATCAAATTTGCTGAATTTGGTGACT